TGATGCGAATTTTTTTGTCTGAAGTATCAGTTTTGCATATACACACAAATATGACTAAACTGTACCTGAAAACACCTGCTATTTTTGTCATGACCTACAAACCGATCTGACAAAGAAAATTGGTTTTTATTTAAAAAACAAAAAACAAAACCCATACATTATTTTATATTTGCATATACATTTATCTTAAACGGTTCTGAAATGTAAATCTTTAAAACTGTATCAAACCATTTATTTACAGAACTGTTAACTTTACAGAACTAAAAACTATAAATGATGCACATCCTTCTTCCAGTCTCAACGGCAACAGTTACATTCCAAAAACTGGATTGCCATCAACAACGCCATGCAAACACACACAAGAAACAAACCACCACTAGAAATAAGGTAAGGTTAACTTTCCTTACTTATCAGAAAAAGAAAAAAAATGGTATGAGAAATATAAAATGACTTTCAATACAAATTACAGATGAAGTGTCCCAAGCATGCGAGACTCTAGATTTTTCTTAAGAAACTATTCCAAATGAACCTCACAATAAGAAAGTATTTAAAAAAGAGCAAGCACATTTATAAACCTGACCTTTTAAAAAGATATGTACATCTCCTATTTACTACAATTTTTCTTCTAATCCCCTGCATCCTGGCCTGCATTCCCATTACTCTCCACCACTAAACTTTTAAGCATCAATGACATCCCATGCTGTTGTAGAAGAAAAAATACAACATGCCTGGCATTCTCAGTCTCTCCTGTTGGCAGGATCCAGTAGAGAATCTCTCTATTCTGAACCAGAAATACAACTGACCATCAAACCTAAAATTGGTTTTCACACACAGTAGATGGAGTGTGACCAAGTTTGGCTATAGCATTTATTTCTAAGATTCATGTTGATTAACACTCCGAACTCATTCATGCTGTTTCCATCAAGGAGTTGTGTAATGTCTTTATTAGCTCACAGAAACAAACGAATATATAAATCAAGCCATATATTATGTCACATAATTGATACAATATGAATACAAACATACTTTTGTTTAAGTCTAAACTAGGGATATAAGTGCCTAGTTGAGTAGTCGACTGACCAATAACCCTAAGCTTACAGCATTGTCCAGTCGACTACGTGATTACTCGCATTCCCCTCTTGCTGACTGTATCAGAGGCAGCAGGGGGAGGGGAGGAAGGCAAGCAGGAGTCGGTGCTGGAGGAATCAGCTTAAACACCAGTTTCCCCCAACACTATCTCCGTGGCGCCGCCTGCCCCCTCTCCATGCTGAGGGGAGGTTGTGTCACATCCCGGAGCAGCCTTTGTTTGCAGCCAGCCCCAGGGGACAGGGGCTGCTGGACCCAGCGTGAGCTAGAACTGAGTAAGCTCAGTCCCAGTTTGTGCCAGATCCAGGAACTACTCCCACTGTGGCTCTTCATTTTAAATGCAGTAAGAGCCAGGCTGTTTCTTACTACATTTAAACTGCAGAGCCACAGCGAGGGAAGTTCCTGGACCCAGCATGAGCTGGGACAGAGCACTTTCCCTTATTGACTAATCGTGTAGTCAATACAAACTGTATCATCTACTCGATAAGCCAAATTACCAACCTCTTAACATCCTTAGTCTAAACAAGGATTTAAAACACAAATAAAAATTATTCTAAAAAAAATAAAATTAACCTGATACTTCAGGTTTTTATAATGACTTACTATGATGTAAAAGATTGAAAGTTAAGTTAAACATAAAAAATGGGCTAGTTACACTCAAATTAGTTTTTCTTTCCCAACTAATTCACCATAATAATCAAATTCACCATAATAATCCAAAATGAAAGCTGAAAAAGATATCCATCAATACTTCATTCATTACTTATAAAGTGAAGCATATGAACAGTTAACATATTTCAAAGAACTGATCTAAAAGATCCAGTGACTAACTAAATAAAAGAACATCAACATTCTTAACTAAATATAGCCATAGTAATACTGCTTCTGGTAAGATGTCAACTTTTCCATTCTAAACCCTAGCCTAAAACTTTTCCAAGAGTTTACAAGTTCACTATAAATATTCAAGCTGGAAAGAAATTTAACATACAAAAGATTCATTTCTAAAAATTTTTTTTTTTAACCAAAAAAACCTCAACTCTTCTTCCCACCCTAAAAAAAAAAATCAAATCTATTTACAAGTTTTTAAATTATAGGAGTTCATAAAAACTGCAAGTGTACGGATTATTCCACCCATCATCCCCATCCTAGTTAATATACTAGGATTTTTTAAATAAAATTTGCAAGACATTACTGAAACCTTCAAACATGATGGTACAACTTGGGGGAGGCTTTTTACTTTTTAAGGTCATCACTTGTGTTCAATAACAGGCTAAAAACATACAAGACCTTAATTCTGTTATACAATGCACTTAACTTTATATGCATGAGTAGTTCCACTAATTTTGATGGGACAACTCCTCACAGGACCTTAGGTCCTGATCTTGCAAAATATTTTTTTGCTGATGGATTCCTGGACCAAATAGCACTTTGTGGACTTCCAATGGAAGCAGAATCAGGCCCCTTATCAATTTTACAGGTTGAGCCTCTCTAGTCTAGCCCCCTCAGGACCTGACTGGTGCTGAACCAGAGAATTTGCTAGACCATGGGAGGTCAATATGGTCTAGCAGCATTATTGACACTTCCTTTGCTTACTGGGCTCTTAGAAGACATTTATGGGTAAATTAGAGCTAAACAACAGCATAGAACACCGAGAGCCAGGAGTGGTGGCTGTAAAACTGTATGCCATGGGAAACTTGGCCACAGCCATGATAAGTGAACATCCATGGATGGAAAAAAAAAAAAAGATTCAAAGGCTTTGTATCTGTGTAACATTTTTCATCTGAGAAACTATTAGCGATTTACAAACAGCAGCTCTCTCAACTTCCCAGGAGAAAAGTAGATATTATATTCCCCATCCACAAAATGGGGAAGCTGAGACAGAGATGTGAAGTGACTTGCATGTGTCACTAACAGAGCTCCTGCTTGGATTACTACCCCAATGATGCCTCTGACATTACTAGAAGGTAGTCACACTCAGACACTTATCAATTTAGAAAATGGATGAGGGAGCATTATATGTGAGTGTAAAAGAACCAGGTAACATTATACACTCCAATACCTAGATAACACAAGATATCTCAATAACAACCCAACCTTGCAAGCCCTTACTCCTGGGAGTAACCAGTAGGAATACTTGCTTGAGAAAGGACTATTCACATCAGTATGGGTTTGCAGATGAAGGGTCACATTCTATAAATCACATTTCTTGTGCTTCAGTATCAGAGGACATTGGTTAAGAGTAAAAAGCTGCAGCAATCTTTGACAAATCCATCTGAAATTTTCAAGTTAAAAATCAGAATGGCAAGTGCTATAGCAGACCTATGCCTATAAATAAAGTGAAGAGAGACTTTGCTCTCCAAAGTGGAGCTCTTGCAAGAGGAAGAGAAAAGGGTGATAAAGCAGAAAAGTTACAGATACAAGCACACCAGTGTTTATTACAGTCTTTCCAAAATAGCAATTGATTTGTCTTTGCACTATTAAAAGTAATCTAGTAGTTCCCTCACAAGTACATCCCAAACTGAATGTAAAAATCTGCAGTTACTATCAGAGTCAGTTGTCAAGTGACTCTCTCTGCATGATGTAAGCACAAACAATCAATGTAGAAAGTTCTAAAAATTCCCATTATTCTGCTCCCATTGGTATGTTGAGCCTATTTACAGGATATCAACTTGCTGAACCAAATGAACCCTTATTTAGTGCAATAAATTCTCCAATGTAAGACATCTTTGTAGCCACTAAATTTAAAAACAAAACAAAAAAATTCCTGTCAGAAAATATGGCAAAACTGTCACAGTACCAATTTTAGGGTACCAGTTCTTTTTTTTAAATTATCTTTTCAAAATGTGTTATATTCTGTTATTCAGGTTCATGAAAGCACAAGACCAATATGATTATGAAGAGTTCACGAATTTAAATTGAGTCAGATATTCTTTAAATTTCAGTATGAATATAGGAAAAACCACAAATAAAATTAGCAAACATTATAGAACTGCTTAGTATGTTCTGATAACACATCCTTCAGGGGACTTTATTGTGAAGATTCCAACTATTTGTTTAAGGTATCCAGTGGTAACTATGAAGGTTGGAAAAGTGGTCTTAAATACAGCAGTCTGTTCATGTACATTTTGTGAAATATCACTTAAAAGTACAGCATGACTTTGAAGCTTGAAGGTCACATGCAATAACTGTTCTCACCAGGATTCTTATGTGAGACTGTACCTTCTGTATTACATCTATATTTAGAAAAAGAAAAAAGCAGGACAACCTGCCCTCTCCTGAATTCAGGATAGTTCAACCACTAATTATCATCATTAATCTATTTCATTAACATTTCTAAGCAGTCTATTATTGTGCTAAATCTGAAAATAGCAAGAAAAAAAAAAGTCAATTTTACTCTGCTTTCCAACTTTATTTTCCCTACCAGAAACCAAGCATTATATATTCAGATCAACAATGACCTTATGTACAGATGACAAAGATTGGCTTCCGCTCCCCCCCCCCCCCCCCCCATCAATGCTTTTTAGTTTAATAGGCCATAAATTTGATTGCCCAGAGAAGTTACAGAACTCTGCACTTGTCTTTTTTCCAATCCACAGAGCTGCCCAGCATCATCCTAAAAAGCTTCAAATGCAAATAATTACATTAAGTAGACTAAAATAAACTAAATAACCCCACACATGCCAGAATTTGTTGGTGTCAAAAGACAACTCATTTTTAGTGAAACATTCACCTATGATAACTGATGTGAAAGTATTGCAATAAATATGATTACAACTGTAAAACAGACATCATAAAACTCTTGAATAAAACATGGACTATAAAACAAACCCCAGACATACATGTATATGACAGTGACACACAAGGCACATGGGAATATGTAAGGATGCAAACAAAATAAATATGTTCAGACTTACCCCATTCTAGATACTCAAGAATATTCTTCTCTCTCCTCAGGGGGGAATTATTACATTCATCGTAAAGGCAGATGAGTATATCCAGCAATGTTTCCACACTGAAGCACTGTCCATTAGTCCGAGTTGGCCCATCCAAAATAAACTGTTCCAACTGCCTCAAACGCACCTCTCCAGACATGGTTGTTTCAGTTTGTATTGTGGTTTCTTTTATAATTATTATTACTTTTAAAAAAAAATCTAACTTTTAAATGGATTGTTAAAAAAAGAAAAACATATGGTTTTTAAACAAATTCAATGCAATAAAGGCGGTACTGAATTTACAATCCACCTCAGTGTTCCTAGTCTGAAAACTGACTCTAAGTCAATTTCACGCACACATATACAGTATATACACAATTTGAAAGAAGAGAGTTATCCTAAAAATATCTTAATGCTTTTAAAAGAAAGAAAAATATATAGTCACTCTTGACATTTAAATAATAATAATTAAAATGAAATTCAATCAAGATTGACACCAATTTTATCATATATAGAGCAAGAAGTATATTTATATATTTAAAAAGGTCTTCTCCTTCATTCAAAATTCAAATCATGCAACATAATCCTGAAAAGAATCCCACTGCATCATTAAAGTGTAAAATCCCATTCAGTTCGCATCAGCAATCCACTTCCCAGGAAGGAGCAGCAAAAGGAAAAATATATAAAATGAAGAAGAAAATTAAATGCACAGAGGAGGGGGGGGATAGGGCTGCAAAATACCCACCACCTCCACCTCCTCTTCCAGTACCACTCGGTAAATGCATCAGTGGCAATTTCTTCAGAAGGGTGGGGGACACAAGTCGCTTGAAGCAGCCCCTCCTCCGGGCTCAGCCAACTCCTGCCTGAGGAAGGCTTTTCCTGTCTCCTTCTCCTCCTCCTCCTCTTCCCGGAGTCTCCTTTTAAGGCTTTTCAGTGATCCCCAAAAATAAAAGGCTTCATCCCCTCTCCACCTTCTTCTCTGCTGAGTGTGGAATGGGGGGCTAAGCAGCCCCCTAAATACCAGCACCACCCGGGAATGGTGGGGGCAGGCGAATAACCCTGTCAAATCCTTCCCATGTCTGCGCGTGTCCTCCTGCCTGATGTCGGCCCTGGCGAGCGGGGGGCCGGGGCGTCCCCCCTTTCCCGATGCACCAGCTCAGAAGACACTGGCCACGTAAGGCCCCCAGGTGCTAATAAGTGCTGCTGCTGCTGCTGTTTTCAGTCCAGGGGATGGGGAGATGCTGCTGCCCCTGCTTCGCCCCACCGGGCTACGGGGATCCTCCTCCGGCGCGGGGCAGGCG